TTATTGCGAGTTATGACTCATTCCCCCGGTTCTTGGACATTCTCTTCTGGATTCTTTTTGGCAAGTAGGCGCGGCATAAAAAAAAGGGAGAGACTTCGTTCGACCAGATGTGTGATCACGTGACTCTGGGTTCAAAGGTCTTATCTCTCCTGGCGTGGCGCCAATAAGTAGAGAAGGGGGATTTTTCTCCGTATTAGTTATTTGTTATTGATCGCTTCTCAACTTTTTTTTCTCCACTGTGTAAAATTTTCGTTTCATTTATTGATGCACGTGTAAATTTTTCGTTTCGTTTATTGAAATATTTTTTTATTTATGTACGCAAGAGAATTTTCACTATGAAATTTTCTCAATATAAATAGTGATATTATACAATTAGAAGAAGGTATCCGGAATGCATTTAGGTGGAATTGGATTGAACGGAGAGATGGTAGTGGGGATACCATCGGCACATGGTGCAAGAAAATAAATGTTGCTGGACAAGCATATTGTGTTTTCTGTAACTCACTACTGAAGTATGGTGGGGAAGAATTCAAGGCTTTCACAAATCATTCTAAAACTGTGGCACACATAAAATATTTAAAGTGCATTAGACATTCAATGACTTTAAGTAATTATGCTAATTCAAAAAACACTGATGACTTACTGGAGATTGATGCTCGGCCATTGGATAGAGTGACAAGAAAAGCACGCCAAGAGGTATTAATAACTTCGTTTATCGCCAAGAATTCTCTTTCTTTCAATGTAGCTCCCAATTAATTGAACTCTGCAAACCAGTTGAGCCGCGATCAGACGGCACTAAACTTGTTGGAAATGTCCAGGACTACTGCATGTTATAAGATAAAATATGGGCTCGCAAAAACTATTAAGGAAAATATCATTAAAACTTTAAAGGAGACTCCATTTTCTCTAAATTTGGATATGAAAGTACTAGCAATGCTCAAGAAAGTATACTGGCAATATTGGTGCAGTTTTATGACAACAATCAAAATGAAGTTGTAGTTCATCATTTTGCATCTCTAAAGATGGAATCTTGCAATTCAGAAGCTGTTTTTAAAGCAGTTGTTAATACTATTGAAGATAATAATATTCCATGGGCAAACTTAATTAGTGTAGTAATGGACTCATGTAACACCATGCGTGGAAAAAAAAAAAGGGTGCTGAAAACCAGACTACAATCAAAAAAGCACCCCATTATTAGATATTGATGGTGACACATTTCACACAGCTAATAACTGTGCAAAAAATTTGCTTCATGTTTTGATAGATACTTAGAAGTTTGTTTGATGACATCTATTTCGATATGAAAAGCTGCAGTAAAAGAGAAATTTTTTTCAAAATCTGTGAATCCCTTGCCATTAAAAACTTAAGCCCTTGAAGAGACCAGACCATAGGTGGGTTGTACACTTTATGTGTTTTAGAAAGAATCAAAGATCGTGGGATGCTCTTATTGCATTTTATTTCACTATTTGGATAAACTGATAAAGGGGATTATTTTTCTTATGTGAAACTGTATACAATAAAAGAAATATTTCTGCAGCTCAGAAAAAAATTGTTGAAGGGGTGTATTCTTGCTTGCATTTCCAACAACTCACAAAGGATGCTTTAGCTCGGAAAAAAAGAATACTAAATGGGTTATTTGTTATGCAAAACAAACTTTATTGCATATGGCATTAAATTCAGCAGTATTACCAGAGTTCAACACATATATTAAATTATTTTGAAACAAAAAAATCAATGCTTCATTTAATACATTCCAGTATTTATAAATTGATGGCAAAATTTTTCTCTTTTTTTATGAAGCCAGAAAATATAGAGTATATAGAGTGCACATCTTATAATGATTTATTAAAGGTTGATGTCACAAATCCAGAATTCCATCTACCTAGCAAAGTAATATTTACTGGTGCAGAAGCTTCCACTCTCCTGAAGAAATTATCAAAAAATCATCCAATAGCAAAAGAATTCCAATTCTTGTCACTCTATCCAATGGCCGAGCATCAATCTCCAGTAAGTCATCAGTGTTTTTTGAATTAGCATAATTACTTAAAGTCATTGAATGTCTAATGCACAAATTTCTGTAATGAAAGCTTATACTAATACAGCAAAGCATATGAAACAGAAATTACCCCTTAAAAATTCATATCTAATTAATTTTACAGCATTAGATCCAGAGCTAAGAGGTAAAACCAGTACAATATTAGCTTTTGAAAAATTATCATCTTTTATGTCCCATATTTTTAGTGATAATGAAAAGTCAAAAGTAGAAGCTGAAATAAGGTTATACCAGAGTGATATTGATATCACCAAAGAAATGCTCTACACATCTGATGAAAGTGGAAATCAAGTCAAGTGTACAATTGATAAATATTGGTCTAAAGTTTTTAATTTAAAAGATGATTTCACAAATGATTATAAGTATCCTATATTGTCTAAATTGGTCAAAGCCTGCCTTAGCTGCTTCCATGGCCCATTAATGGAAAGTGCATTCAACTTAATGGATACACTTGTCACTGACTATAGAACCTCTCTTAAGATTGATTCCCTAGATTCAGTGCAGACTATTAAATATGATTTAATGGCTTCTAAAGAAACCTCATGAGAAAAATATGGCTAAAAAAATCCAATGACTGATCCAATTCACAAAGATCTCTTACTGAATATGAACAGGAGTCGGAAAACATATCAAGAGGACTTAAAAACATGTATTTCAGATGAGTCACCTATAAAGTCTCTGAAAAACCTTCTATATTAGCAGAAAAGCAAACTGCTTCTACCTCTGCATGTGCAGTTCTCGAGGAAATTTCTTCAACTGTAAATGAGGAAAAATAAAAGTCAACCTTCCTGCAATTATGAAGTTCACCACAAAAGAAAGACAAGCCCGCAAACTCAGAAAATAAAAAAAAGCAGCAGAAAATTAGATAATTTTTTTAAATAATTAATTCAGGTAATTTAAAATATTTACATAAAATGTAGTAGTTTATATGTTTGAAAATTTATGGTTATTAATTTTGCAAAAAAATAATTCATTGAACTTTTATAATTAGGTCATTCAATACTTCATAATTGTAATTTTTCATTTCTCTCCCCCCCCTCTCGAAACTCCAAAATGTCGGTAGTAAGTCCGTAAAAGTTTCAGGGGATTTTTTGGGGTCCCACAAACACCCCTGATAAAATTGCTGTAATAGTCTGCAAAAAATAATAAGCCAGCTCTAATTCGAAGATTAAGGAACAGCGCAATCTGCAACATTAACGGAATTAGGTAATTTTAGTTTAGCTTATACCGTCTGTTATACATTAAACGTGCAAGCGTAAACGTGTTATGCACACACATATCCGCAGCCGTAAAGTTCTTACGCGCGTCACTGCGACGCATGTGCAGAAAGTTTGTAGCTTTGAGGTCCGGATTATGGGTGTCCAAATTAACAACTTTTGACTGTATATATTTTCCTCCTGTACTAATCATACTCCTGTAAAATGTAGACCCCAGTTATGAATGTCTGACATTTTGATTTTTTTTACTTTTGTTATAAATATTTAAAAAGTGTGATGATTAGATTATAATTTTAACTAATTTATCAGTTGCATGCCAATTTGTATAATTTATGCATTAAAAATATGTTTGTATTTTGATTTTATAAAGATTTCATTTCACATTTTGAGTTTCATGTTGTGCTTTAAATAATAAATATAAATGCTGCTTTATCTCTGTGTCTGAAAATATAGCTCAGATTAGGTTTTGAATTTTAATTCTAACATATCCTGTCACTGCGGTCATATGGCAGCTAGTGGCTAATTGAATTCACACTATTAAAACTGGATTCAAATCCCTGGACAAAACAAATACTTTCAGCTGAAGTGTCTGCAGAATTGGGGCAAGTTGTCTTAAGATGCTGGTTATATGGAAAGAAAGATAGAAGACATAATGTTCAATTTTTTGGATATTTTTGGTTAAAATTTGGATGGAAGTAGAAAGTCCTCGTTGGCTTGTCTGAATTGAGTAATCTGATGCAATGTCAAATCTGAAAAGAATTCAATTTCTCGATATGCATCATAATACACCTAGCATGCAACAGAAGTCATTTTATTAGTTGCTATATTTTTCTTATGCTTAATGCACATTTCATATTTTATTACAGAATACTTGGCAATGTAGTGTACTATAAATAGTGCAAGGGTTATGCATAGATGAGCTGAAATTCCCCATAACACACGAGAAATATCACAAATCATCAAAATTGCTTACAGGACAAGGCATCTTAATTTCAGAATTGTCTGCAACAGATCAAGTCTCAATTCATCTATTATTGGCTCATAGCTACTCACAGACTCACAGTATATACCATTTAGGAGCATAGGCTAGGCTCATCTGGAATATTCTAGAAGAGTCACTCCTAAAGCTTCAAAAACACATCTTATGAAAACTTTAAGAATTACCAAAAGAAATTGCAAAATGTTGCTAAGATCTGCTGGCCCATATCTCTGGACTTGAGCCATGATCATGATCCAGTGTCAAAAATAAAAGCTGTGCAAAATAATACCCAAAATATGCACATACAAACACATTATTGGAGTTCTAATTCAGAATTAAATAAAATATTCTGTAAGTGAACACAAAGTTATTATGCAAAATGCACCAAATAAATAACTAAGAACAGATACATACGAGTACAAAAATACGTAAGAACTAAATTACAGATAAACAAATGTAAATATTTCTATGAATATTATGCTTGTAATTTTAGGTTTAGGGGGCTAAGTTTTTGGGTAATTCTTTGTTAAATTATTTTCTCATGATATTTAAAAGTTGCACATAACAAGTTGCCAATTTAGGTTAGTTGCAATAGCTGCTTTAGTTAAGAAATGCCAGTATTTGTAAAAAATGCATATCAGAAAGTTACTTAAAAGAAATATCATTTAATGATTCTGTTTTATCATTTAGTGATTAACTTGTTTACATACCATGTGATAGATCTAGGAATAAATTATTCTTTGTTTTTTAGTTATGATGAAACGTTATGGAGAAGGTTTGATTTGGGAAGAAAGTTTATAAAACCAGGTGTACTTGGAACTCTTTTATCACGAGGAGTTAGTGTATTACGATTAGCTATGTCTGAGGTAAGACTTCTAAAACTCTTGTCTGAAACAAATAGTACATAAAATAAAGAGAAATAAGGCACCTTAACAATTTTGAATTACTTAAATGTTAGTGACTGTTGTATGTAAGTTTTCCACTTTTGAACATTGTTGTTTGGTATTTTATTGTTTTGAAACATATTTTTAATGTTCAAATCTTCTTTATACTATTTTCATCATAATTGTGGTAAGATGAAAAGTATTTTTATAAGGTGCAATATTTATAGTAATGATACCAAAAATATAAATAAGCCGCATCATCTTTCTCAGTTTTAGATATTTTCTGACTTATTTCAAGGACTTGAAATAAGCATTTTATATATGAGACTATAACCTAGGGCTCTAGACTTTGATTCTTTATTTATTTACATATTTCTACTTATATCGTACATGGAGAAAATTTATATTTTTAAAAAGTAACTTGTCTTCTCTGGCGGAAATCAGTATATGGGAAGTATCCCAGGCAGCACGTCTCCAAAAATATAAGTATAATTTTGGTGAAATAAGGGTATAGTATTTTTTGCACTTTACTTTTATGAAATTTATACGAATGAAAAAGGCTGAAGTTACTGTTGACTCTTTATCGTTATTTTTACGAAAATTATATGAATCCGAATGTACTGAAAAAAACTACCGCCATAATGGTATATTTTATTCGTCACTTTTACGCATATTATACGAATCCGAATGTTCTGAAAGAATCTACTGCCTTTATGGTATATTTCATTCATCACTTTTACAGATATTATACAAAGTCTAAAAAAGATTGAAAATGAAGTTTATTAATTCAAAATATTTAGTGTATTTCTGGCATTTCACTTTGTTTTTCCTTTCCACGAACATGAAAAAAGGGGCATTCATATATGAGGCTAAATTTTTTCTATAAATTTTAACATGTGAGCTAAATCTTTACGTGCATTTTTGCAAAAAATTATATTTTCTTAATTCAAACATCTTCAAAATAACTTATTTATTTTCTTATATCAAATTTGTTATTTTTATTCATATCAAAACTTACATTAATTTACACAATTTAATTTCTTTTATGAAAATCCTATTACACATTTAACCGGAATAAGCTGTATGTTAAATTTGTGTACTTTACTGCTGAGTTTGGTACAATACTCGCCTTATTTTATTTAGCAGATGTGGGCAATTAAATTGGAATAAGACTAGCAAGTGGGCAATTAAATTGGAATAAGACTAGCAAATCTTTCATGTCGAAGAATAGAATAATAAATAGAGCAGAAGATGCTTCGAAAACGTTTAACTTCTTGAACAATAGTTTAATGTAGACCAAAGGATCATTAATTATAATCAAAGATATACTAATATTTTTATTTAATAATAATAATAATAATAATAACTCTACAAAATTGCAAGCTGAATCCTGATATTTTGACATATATTTCAGTTCCTTCCTTTAATCTTTGTTATAAAAATCCATGAGGCTACATTTTTTAATTTTGTTTAATGTACGGAAAAAATGATATATAGCGATTTTAATAATTTTTATATGAGGAAAAATTAATAAATAATGTAAATAAATAATTATATTATATTTTATATTTTCCTGAAACAGTTAAAGACATTCTTAATATGGAGATCTACAGAATAAGTACAAGGGTCCAGTTAAATGAACTCAAAATTTGCATAGTTAATTTTACGCTAACTTATAAAAATTAACCAGATTTACGATTATACACTGAGCATGCGCTAACACAGACATTTCTATTTTTCGTTGAAAAATTTAATTATTACCTTAATACAGAGATGCTGTGAATATAAATTTATATAATGCAAAAGTAAGTTTATTTCATATGCTAATTTAGAGGCTTTCTTAGTATGTTTAATTATAAAGAAGAAAAAAAAAGCGTTGCAATTCTTGTTCATTGACCAATGGCAAAGCAGGCACTTTCTACTTCCGGTTGTGGCGGGATATTTGTGAAGTCAGCAATGGCGGTCGAAAAGAATGGTAAAGTCGCAAAGAATACTGTTTTTTCGTGGATTGGCGTTTGTGACTGAATCCATCGATGTTACTAATTATTTGAAGAAAGTAAGTGAATATTTTATATTTTCAGTGTTTGATACTCGTACTTTCTTTACCTATATAAAATTTTATAAATAGCATCTGTGTAGGAAATGTGATTTTCCATGTGTTTGTTCTTTTTGTGTACGTGCCTAATGATTCATTTTCAGGATTTGGTACCAAATCTGTTGAAAAATTTTGCACTAGTCTGTTTACTTACTGTTTGTGTCACTCCTTGTTTGTATGTGTCTCACCTTTTATATAGTTATATTATTTTTACTCAAACGTTTTAATATTTATCTTAAAGCATACTGTAATTAAGCAGGAAATAGCTTTTAATGGAAAAGAAAGGCAATATTAACATGACTAATTGTTCAGAAATCTGTTATGGAAATATTATTTACCTTATGCCAAAAAAGTAAAGCATGTAACTTTCATTTATTTATGAAATTCAAAATTTTTTTATTTGCTTAGTGTTTTTCCCTAAAAATAATTTAATTTCTTATTTTTGAATTTAGTTTTTATATAAATTTGCTTTAATATATAATCTTTAACTCAAAGATATGTGCTATTAAAAAAGGAAATTTTATGCAATAGAAACACAGGTACTTTGTTCCAAATCTTGTTCATTTTTTTTATATAATACTGAATTTTTCATGCACTTGTAATTACTGAAATATATCTTTTCATAAAATAATAAAGTAAGTCCTAAGTCCTTTTCATGAATGCATTCTTTTTTTTGTTTTGATTTTGTTGTTTTAAAAGATCTGCCATAGTTAAAGAAAAAAATAAAGTAAGAATGCTTTACTTTCAGTTTTGAATAAATTTATTACTATTTACTGCAGCTTCAAGTTTCTCTAAACATAATTTTCGAAGTCAAAACTTGATAGTTTATGTTGATTATTAGACTTGCATGTAAAAATTTATTTGAAAAAGTTAGTATTTGATCTAAAATACCTTAAATTATTTGAATTATATTTTACTAAATCATGTATTTTGATATAACTAGATAGTTAAAAAAATTGAAAATTGTAAATGTGCAGAAATGCTTATATAAAACCAAGAAATTGTTTATATTTTTGTTGCTTTTTTCCCTTGTAAATTAAATATATATATATATTACAGTCTGGGGAGTCAGCACCCTGCTGAATTGTAGTAAACGAGACGTCCAATCTACTAGAACCATCAAAGATGCAGATTTGGATTTTCTATTTCATAGTTATTGAAATCATAATGGTATGTTTGTTTAAATTAGTACTGTTTATGATGTGTGATAAAAATAAATTCTGATAAGCTAAGAAAATGATTTATTTTCTATTAATTATGAACTGTAATAATGTAACCAATTTTCTTCATAGTATTTACTAAAACATTTTTTTTTTTAAAAAAGGGAGGTAGTCTTATTTATACAATTCTTGCAGAGATACCAAGAAATAAAACATTTCAGGAATTTTCACTCAGTATATCTTGATGTTTAAAATCATGTTGTTCAATGCCATATTACTTTTTCACAGGAAAAGTAATTTTATTGATCTAACATCTGCATAAATCAAACTTTTTAAGAATGATTACAGTTTCTAAGCTAACTTAAAATTTTCAGATTTAGAAAATATATGTTTAATGTAGCAGCATTAGTTTTCCATGGAATAGAAAAGGTTTTAAAAATGTTCAGTTGTTAGAGGGAAATAATATAAATGAGATTGTCCTGATACAGTTTTCAGCTGGAAATGAAACTGAATTTTCGGATAGTGAAGATTTCATTTAAGAATTCTATAAAACTGATTAATGTAAATCCTCTGCATTTAAGAATTCTAATAAAACTGATTAATGTAAATCCTATGATTCATGTAGGTATTCTTCTGTTATCAGGACCAGATTCAGAAATGTGTGTTTATATGCATGCATTTTTAAATGTAGGTGCTCGTGTGTGCATGTGTATATTCTTTATGTATGTATGTGTATACTCATACACATATATTGCATACATGCACATGCTTACATATCTACAGTGGAACCCGAGATACGAGTTAATTAATTCGTTCCAGCATTCAACTGGTATAGCGAATTTCTCGTATCTAGAAACAAGCTTCCCCATTGAAAATAATGGAAATTCAGTTAACCCGTTCCACACCCCCAAAAAATATCAACATTTTAATATCAAGTCAATTTTTCCTAATAAATAACACTGGTAAATAATATAACCATAGTTTAACTTTGTTACCAAACATTTTAACTCCTTCTCATTAATCCACACCAACAACAGCTTCTCAACATCTAGGAGTACTTTTATGGTGCTTGGAAGCAACGATAATTCCTTTGGCTACATCAGTTTCTTAATTTCTTCCTGCTTCTTCAGAATAGTATAGATTTTCGATGTTGAAAGGCCGCAAGTCTTCGCCAATTCCGTCACCATGCTTATGTTTATCTACGATTTCTTTCTTGATATCAACGGCCATGGCCTCCTTATTTTTCTTTGCAGCACTATCTGAGGCAAACAATCTTCTTGCGAGGCATCTTGAAATAATTATTTTCACGTTAAATGTCAAAACAATTAACTTACAATTGCACAAACACGTATATAAAAGAACACTGAGTGATCTGACGAGGGGATTCCCCGAGTTGAGCCGGATAGGGAAATGGCGCCACCCATACCAACAGCCTGGCTCATTGCTTGTTACTCGATCAATGCTCGTATTTGCTCATATTTTCCTCGTATCTCGAGGTTTCATTGTTGTACTTTCTGAATCCCTGTCCTAATTACAGAGGAGTACCTTTGCCAGTATTGCAACAGAGCTAGAATGAATTATTGTTTTAAATATGTGGAAAATGCATGCTTAAAGTACTGTTATTTTCTAAAATATTCTGTATGTCTTTTTTACAAGAAGAAAAAATAGCTAAAAGCTGTTAATTTATTTATTAGTCCAAAGGGGCTTTGTCCCTAAAGGACTATTTTTTTGTTTTGCATTGGTTCACTATAAATTCACTGTAATGGTTT